AGGGTTTCCGGTAGGGCAAAACTGCTGACTGAGTGAGCACGAGGTGTTACTGGTAGGTTTTTGTATAGGGTGACTAAGCATTCGAAACATTGCTCCTATTGATCTGACTGCTCTGCCACTGACAAGTCAACCTTCTGGCCTCACCTTGAAGAGGTAGTATTAACAGAACGTTCCAATTTGCCCTTCCCTTCCTCAAATCATACGCATTCCTTTTTCACCCTCTTGTTCGGGGCTCCTTATCCCGTCAGTCGATGCTCGTTCTGCCATGGTGCATATTTCATCGTAATGTCCTCGAAGCACCTGTTGCCCGTTCAAGGAGCGTCGTTCAAGAGGCTGCTGCCGCCGGCCTCTGGCCCGTCGAATTACTCAAGCGCAAACCATCAGGCCCAATCCGACCATCGCGTCACGTCGGCTATGTTTCCCTGAAATCTAATCAAGTTTATTAGAGCAACATATACACGCATACATCACGTCGATATCAACAGGATTACATGCCGTGCCCAAGAAGTCCTCACATCAAACGCCCGTCGCCGTGCGTCAATGCAGGGCTACTGCAGGAAATCCGATTCTCATTAAGAGCAGCACTCGCGTGATAAGAGGCTTCCCAGTGGGACTCTCTCGCATGTGAAGTGAGCGTGAAAAAAGGAAGTAGAGGAAGTGTAATGAGAAGAAAAACGTAAGAGACCGTGTTTTCTCGGGAATATTCTCTGTAGTCACCCCTATTTTAATTTCAAAGTAACCAATTTATTTATTTATTTATTTATTTCTATACGTCCAGTGGACGCGCTTGGACAGAGCATATTCGAATAGAAATACTATCAGACGCTAAAAAGGCAGCAGTCGTCCTCAGTTGAGTCACAATAATTGATGGGTCAACGTCCGACTTAACCAACTTGTAAAGGAAAAAAGCGAGAGGGGGCAGTTCAAAAGATTCCTTGAGTATTTTTTTTTTCGAACTCGAGTTTATGAGAAAAGAAGTCTCCAGAAGAAACGCGATTCATTTGACATTAATTTCCCAAGTTTTTTTACGTGACAGTTAATTAAATAAATACTTGCTTATACTTTGAATCTGATAGTTCAATTTGATTATTGTTCATTTATTATAATTACTATTTGTTTATAATAACTATTTACTTAATAATAAATACTAGGCCCGCAATCACTTCACTTTTCGAAGGAATTTTTCCCATCGCTATTTCTTCAATTGGTCTTTATGGATACCCGACAGGATGCCCGTCGCGCGACGCGAAGACAGAGAGGAGACAGGTCAGCGAACGTAGTGCAGCGATTTTGCGTCAACTCAGTTGGATAGATTGCACTATAGTACATTCCACATTGCACAATACGCGCTGCGACTCGTCCGCTGACCCATCTGCGTCTCTGCCCTCTTGCCGCACGACGAGCCTACTGTAGGTTACCCTGTCTTTACATTCATGTATGCTCATGCGGTGACTTGAGTTTTTCCTGCTCCTGCTTCATTTACCTACTTCGATTTTAATTTACTATATTTTGTTGAAATGATAAGTAAAGCTCTTAGATCATTATCAGGTTAGGTATGCCCATTCTCCGGGTACTGTAGTGGGCATGATATTCCCCATCAGAACGTAACTAACATAGATAAGGGCGTTGGTCGACCCGTTCTTCTGTATGCGCCATGCATTCAACTCCTGTTCAAACCTTAGCAGGACTCGAATGCTCATACAAACCGAGTCCTTTATTCAACCGTTTATAACACGCCGTTTTGCTTCATAACTGTATGCGGGTCGAGAGAGAGAAGAGAATTGCAATTGACTTGAGATTTGATCCCGTTGAGCAGGTGCACGTGGCAGCGGCGCCTCTCGCCATTGCTCCACCCATGTTATGGATGAAAGAACTAATGGTTAATCACGCGCGTACGGCTGAAATATATCGTCTTTTTTCCCCTGCTAGGTCTTGGTTCGAAGCCACAACACACGCGATCACATTAATATGTCTGAGAATTCACATCCTCACGGCGTAAGGAGGAAGTGAATATCATCGGTTCCGCCTTGGCGTAAACAAGCACCGAAGGCGGTAACGAGATGAGAAATCATTGATAGTGTTTCTCTCGATCCACTAGATGCTACGAGAGCATTATAGAAGGAAATGAGGGTTTATCTAGACTGAGAAGATTAATTTTCGGTCCATCAAGAGATAATTTAGTGCAAAACGTTACCATGGCAAGTGTAGCGCACTCTTTTTGACCTAATAGTGGGAGTTTTTCGTGATCATTTTTTTCCCAAAGTCCCTCAACAAATGGAGACAGAATGGAGATTACTGCTCTCCGCTCCATTGGAGTCGCCAGCTACCCGCCACCGCATAATCATAATTTTTTATGTTAAAGCCGAACAATAAAGTATTCCCATTTAATTTCATGATTACCGAGTGCCCATAGCAAAAGGGGCATTAAAAAATCTGTCTCTCCTGAGCCTATAAAGCTGTGCACCCTTTCGAGGTCTGATAGCTGCCGTCATTCAAGAGCATAACACAGAGACGTGACGATCGGTTGGCCCCCATTATTCAGTCTGAAGCGCACTCAAATGCCCATGCGAAGATGAAATGGAGCTAAAATACGTGGCACAACATTAAGCTATTGATTAACGCTGAATGCTTTGTAGGTTTCCCTTAACTACGCTTTCGGAGAAGAAGGATGGTCAAAAGGGGTCGAGGCGTCCGGGTAGTTTTCATACTGGTATCAACCCATGGAATCAGAAAACAAATACTTGAGGTAAAAGCATTGCGCTCGAGCGCAATTCAAAGGATTTCGGCCAGCAACTGAGGCCAGATTAGAAGGTTTTTTGCTGACCACATTGGCCCTTACGTGACCATCATGGGCGGGCGGATATAAAATTATTTACTCCGTCAAGTCAGCTACCTAAAACTAGGGACCCAGTGGGTGGGGCATAGTTTGCCTGTCAGCAGGAATGCCCAGAGCTAAATAGTCTGCGAAAATGCTGCACGCGAGTGTTCTAGAGCCAGTTCAAGTAGATGTCTCTTCGATTTACGGTGTACCCCATTCTTGGGCCTGAACTGTTCAGACCAGGAAGCTGTTGGACTAAAAGTTCTTGGTCGGTCATGTCAAACTCAATTGGACCACTTACAGTAGCGGTCAAAAAGTGTTTGCCGAAACGGTTTTTTGTGCTTCTATTTTTTTGCCAGAAAAATCAATGGTGGCCTCGGAAAAATTTTCTTTTCAATATTCTGTGATTTCTTTGAGACTTGAGGATATAAAAACGTAAAAAAAAAACATAGTCCATTCAAACTGGCAGGGCGTTTGCTCTAGCGAGGAGAATAATGCCCTAAAACGTTTCGGCGCCACTTTTTGACTCCTATCGTAAACTAGGGTAACCGACGAAAGTTCATTACCGTTGCGCATAACGAATGATTTCGGACGTAAAATTCGTTATGCCTCAACGCAAAAGCAAAATCATTTTCTGGTCTAAGAATAGGTCTGTTTTTCCCTTCTGAGACACCATTTACGTCAACAAAGCCTATTGGACCAACTTACAAAGGCGAATTAAACACGTAGTAGCGACACGGCATCAAGGTCAGATGTTCCTGTCGAACAAAAAGGCACTTAACATAACCTTGTTAGCTGTGACGAATAGCCTGCAGAAGCTGTGAGGATCCGAAGATTCATAGTCTGCTGTGTGTCATCAATAATGGATCCGATTCCGAATTCCGATTTCCGGGCCAAACACTTTCATTGGCTATGGTTCCGGCCTACGGTTCATCTTGGACTTTCGAATATTCATGAGTTTTGGTGGTAAATTAAATTTGTTTTCCCGATTACTTGCATGTATTTGGAATATTATAATATTTTTGAAGTCGATGAGTTCAAAGTTTATACGTGACTTTGCTCGTCGTATTTCTTTATGTGGGCGTTACATGAAGCAGCTGAATAGTTGGTGCAGAAAAGGTATTCAGCATTAATTGTGACGTAACTAGACACAAGTCCTACAATTGTTACATACCGTGTGATTAAAAAGGTAGGATTAGGAGTGAACGGATCGCTAATGTGTCAAGCATAAAAACTGAAAGTTTTGTGGAAACAACTACGTAGCAACTTTTTCAAGGTCTCAATTACAATTCCTTAATACGAAGTGATTTTTACTTTGTTATTTGTTCTATTTCATTTCCTTGACAAATTCTCTTCTTCATTCTTTGGTTACAGTAATTAGCAAGAAGCGAGTCGGACTCGTTCCACCCCTTCTCCTGTTTCTCCCTCATTCTCTTGTTCCTCCTTCGCTAGATTGTCTTGATGTGTTTCCATGAACTTGCAAACAAGATACGCCGTGGGTCAAGTAACCCTGGATCAGGTTTTACCGCGAGTTGCGCTGTTCTCAACAAGGGAGGTCTTAAATGAGTTTTTTAGGGGGGGGGCATATTTGGGGATGCTGAAAATCAAAAAGTTGGAAAGGGGTGCCGATATTTCCGAAGTTAGGGGGCTTGGGGCGGTGTAGGGGGTTCGTTTTTTGGCGATTTTTCGGAATCTCGGGAATATCTCGAAATAAGTGCGAAGTGGTCAAAATGAGAGGTGACTCCCCCTAAGCTGATGGTGGTGCAGAGGGGTTGTATCGAACCCCAATAAGAGGGGGTAGTCAAATTTTTGAAATTGGAGCAATTGGCGATGACCCTGCCCTCGACAGGGTCAACCGTCACGTTCGCACTTTCTCAGAAATTTTGCGACCCTCCCCCTTTTGGTGCCTTGATGGCACCTCCCCCCCCCCCACCATCAGTCTTAGGAGGCTATCCCAGTTACCGCCACCCTCGCCATTATGGCTGTTTCTATAGCATTTGATACTGATACCAGTCGACACAGTCCAGCTCCGCCCACTTTCTCCTCCCAAACAGCCTTTCGGGAGAGGGGGGTGCTAC